TTTCAATTAGTCAAATGTCGCAGACAGTGCGATATGGTGGGGCTTATTAATAGCCCTAGGCTACTGACCACTACTGAGGGTCTGTAACCTCAAGTTGGCATATCTTTGAACCGGCACTCCCTATGATCAAGAGTCTGGGAATTCTCCAAGACAAGAGTTGTTAGAAACTATACTAAGCTGTTCTGTATCTTAGTTTAAGTTAAAGTTATGTTAAAAGTGATTCAAAAACACCAGAAGAATAAGGTTTTCTTCTAAATTTCTTTACCTAATACCTTTGTCAAGAAATTACCAGAAGACCAAGTTAAACAACAGTCGTCTGGAACGGATCACTGTGTCACAGGAGCTCGTGTCTGTGGAGAACGTGTGTTGCATGCCGCATGCAAAGTTTGAACTTGGCTTAACTGCTGGCAATTCTATTTATTTACGAAATAAATCACTAACGGCAACTCATTAGCAGTTAAGCAAAGATATTAAGCTGAGGCGGTATGGAGATTGCCTGCATGACATTCTTCCTCCAGTCCTTTATTTGTGGTCTAAAGTCCGGTTTTGTGATATGTGCTGTTGTTGATCCAGTAACTGAGTGACTGTTCAGCGACACCTCGCTGGGTGATAGCTGGTCCAATTCCACATCCACTTCCACTGACACCTCCACCTCCACCGGCAATCGCATGACTCTCACAATATTGTCGTCTTCTTTTCAGCCGGTATCTTGGCCAGCTAGAGATAAGCCATATTGGTGTCCATATATTGAAGCTACCGAATGGCTAAGATGAAATGTGGCAGCTTATCAAATCGAAATCAATTTGGTTGCATATCTGGGATGCCATCTAAACACCTAAACATGTCAAATAGGCGCACTTAAGACGACAACTACACATGTGCCTCCCCAGACTGCCGACAGTTCATCACCTGACTGCTTGGAGGATTCTCCAGGGGTATGGGAATGGGGATCGGGATTGGGATTATATACTGCTCTCTGGCCGGTTGGCCAGATTTCGAATAATTTTGTTTGCGCCTGTCATAAGCTGAACTAGGAACGGGTAACAACTGGCCATTGGTAGCCACAGCTCGCGGCTCAAATTGTACCGCAAGCACACAAATCACAAGGCGAACCTCTCCTAGCTCCAGCTCCAGTTCGAGCTCCTCCATCCCATCTCATCTCATCTCCTCCTCCTGCTCATGATGATGCTGCTGCTGCTCTCGTTCGATGATGATTGCTGCGCAGACAAGAATTTCTAGTTTCGGTGAAGGCAGAACCTTAACCATGGCAGTGGAGAGGCCGAAAGACTTGGTAGCCGCAGCCGTGAAAGCATTTTGCATTTCTTTACTCTATTCAAAAAGAGGGGATTTTAAATATATTGATAAAGATGAGGAGAAACCCAGGAAAATGTTTGGATCTGAACTTTAACTGGGGAAGAAACATTTTAAATCTATAATTTACTTATGATAAATACTAATGCTCTCAGTCGTTATTATTAGATATTATTTAAGAAACTATTTTCTTTGGGTTTAATTTAAATACCAGAAATAAAATGAAGCTAAAGAAAAATGTAGTTCAAACTATTAAATAAATAATAAATACATATTTAGTGGCTAAAGAACAAGTTGTTAATTAATTTATGATTAAGCATTATAATAATCATCTTTGCAAAAGCTTAAATTACTTTCTAAAATCAAACCTGAATAAATTCAAATCTTTAAAAGTGTTAAAGCAAAAACAATGCTTGTTAACTTAATTAACAAATCAAACTTGTTGTTATTTGATACTCTTGCTTAAACTTCTTCTACAAAAACCAAAATATAAATGGCTTAAAATTCTAAATTTCTTAGCTTGCTAATTAATAAATTTTAAAATTCAAGCATTTAAAAGAATATTTATTTCCTGAAGCAATATGCCTTAGAAGAGAAGTAGGCTTACATAGGAATTTGAAATTGTTTAAAAATATCAAAGTGTATATATTATACTATGTTATTTCGTTTAATTTATTGTTTATATTTTAAAAAGTTAATTAAAGCCTTTACTAATACTTAAGTATTCAAAAAGAACTCAATAAGGCATAAAACAATAGCTTTAATAATCTATAGATCTCCATGAGTATCAGATTTTTGTTAATTTTGTAAGAGTATCTAGTATTTCCCAAGATTTACCATTATTTTTCCTTTCCTTTTTGCATTTTTACGATAGAATTGCGCTCATAACTTTTGCCAAGTCCCCGGACATTGGCTGCTCGTCTTTTGGTGAGCAGGGAAACTGAAGAATTTTAGGCCCGACATGCGCCTGTCGCTGCTGGCAGCCCAGTTGGCCAACAGGTGAGCGGTGGAGAAGCCAGGTGAGGGACAGGGGGACAGGGGGACAGAGAGACCTGAGACAGAACCTGGAGCTGATGGAGAGCGTTTCTTTCTGGTCAGTCGACTTTCCTGGTGATGCTGCTGGCACTAGCTTTAGCTGGTGGCTGCAATCGCTTTGGAGTTTGGAACATTTCATTAGTTTTGAGTGCTGGCATATATCGTCCGTGTCGTCGGATGCCGCTCCGCTTTGGCTATTATTTTCAATTTTATTGCGCTTTTTATTGGGGCTGCATTTCGCTATATATGGCCACGATATGGCTTATTGAAACGAATGCCTAACTAATTTATATGACCATAACCGAAGCCAATTCGCATTGAGTCCAAGTTGGAGTAGAAAAAAACACAATTCTTTAGTTCAATTTTAAATTTTGTTTTTAATTTGTTCAAAAAGTGTTATCGCCAAATTTGCCAAATTTGCATCTCTTTTTTTTCTGTTTTGATTTATCTGTATAATATATATATAATTTGAATATTATTAATTTACTCTGACATAAAATATCAACTTAGAGTTAGGGATATATATATGTTTGTTAGTTTTAAATTTATAGCAAACAACTGATATAGTTGGGAGGGCCGAAAGCTCCCCTCTTTGGATGATAGAACCGATTCGACAGACTTAGCGATCTAAAAACAAAGACAGTCTTTGAAATTAGAGTTAAAGAATTGAGAGCCTCTTATATATATATCTTAGGAGGTTATTCGAGTGGATAATGTGCACACAAGAAACATTAAGAAACACTTATTTTCCTACGTATGTATTCAACGCACAAACAAATTATATTTGAACGGCAATGCGACATCTACAAAAAATACTTTTGCAAGCTTTTGCACCATTTGAGCATTGAATGTATGGGCCTTAGGTATCATTTTTGCTTAGCTACGAATAATTGTTGTCTAGCTAAGAATGCATCAATAAAATACATTTATTCAAGTGAACTTTACACTCATATAATTCCATATATGTATATATGGAAGAAAAACTGTCCATAAGCATAACTCGAGTTATAAACACATTTATGTACACCTACGGATATATTCTGCTTAGGCTTCTCCCCTGTTATTTTGTCGACTGAATAATAATATTATTAATAATTTGTAACACTGAAGCATGCATCAAACGAACAATATGAATCACAACGTTTAAAATTTAAAAATCCCTTTTCTTTAAATATATAATTACTCTGTCTGCAAATTTTTATAAGCTTCATTATTTTCTTGATGGCACATAATTTTCACACATTCACTTGTCGTTTCTGGATACCTTGTGACTTAATCTCTGGACATAATGCCAAACTCTAAATACAAATATATAGATTGGGGTTTTTCCTATTATACCCCTAAGAAGTGTGCTGTGTTTTTCTCGTTTTCAATTGTTGGCACTGCCCATTACCTTATCAACTATTTATGGGATTTTACCATAATCCCTCCTAGTCCTAAATTTTTGTCCGATTTAGCAGCTATGCAAAATATATTTTCACCATTATTTTGCTATTTAAAATAGATTCGAATTTAAAACATCCTCAAACCATTCGTTACTTTCGAATTTTCAGCTGTCGTTGCTTTCTACATAAATTTGTTGTATACTTCATCAAATATATTTGTCAAGTGGCACAAGAGTTGCGGTTAGTTAGGTTTTTTTTGTGTTTTCCGTGTTTCTGTCAACACTTTCTACTTCGTTTCAAGTTCGTTAGGCTATAATTTGTGAGGCGCCAGACTCATTCAGAATAAGCTGAACATCAAAATCAAAATCATGACCTTATATTCCTATTTATTCTTATTTGTATATAGGGTGTAGTGGTGATTCATAGTCATACGAAAATGTATACAGCCATGTATAAAATTCGTGTGAAGGATTCGTAAAAGGTTTGAAAGCTTTTCTTGCACTGTAAGTTTATGGTTCTATTGTCTAACACTTACGAAACGCACTGTACTCTCTATAGGAGCCTTTTTATTGCCAAAGGCTGCAAGCCGAAACCATTCCTTTATCTCAGAACGACTTATTTAACAAATAATAATAGAAATAATAATAAATAATAAGCAGTAAAGTATGTTTTTTGAAAAATTGTTATATATTTCGAGAAGTAAAATAAACTAATAATATAAAAATATAATAATTAAACTTAAAATTCTAGAAACTAAGAAGAAATCAATTTCTACAGTAGACTGAACATATATTTTAAATATCATATATATAAAGATAAAATTAAATTTTTCATTTGCCATATTGATTTCGAATCAGTTAAGGAAGTACAAGGGGCATTTTTCAAATTTAAGTTTCTGTTTTTCTTTTTTGTTAAACAAGTTCGCTTCTATCTTCATTCAATATAATATTTAGCACACGAAATTCCATTATTCGATTTAAAAGTAATTTTTGTTTTAAACTTATGCAATTTATAATGCTTAGAGGAAAAAATGATATGCTAAGATTTTTGTGTGTGTTCAATTACGTTTCTGAATGTTAAAACCTAAAGCTAAACCTTTAAGATAATAAGTTAATAATTATAATGTATATATAATTATTTTAAAATGCAATAAATTAGTGTTTGTGTGTGTTTGTTTGCTTGTGTGTGGTGGTGTGTGTGTTAGCATTTTTAAAAAATGAACATTAGCTAGGCAAAGGCGAAAGTATTATAATTTTTAAAATTATTTCTGGTTATTCATGTAGTTATGTAAAGAAATTAAAATTAATAATTATTACACATGAGATCACAGTATTAGAGACATAAGTTAAATATTTTCCCATTTCAATTATATATCAAATATTATTAGTAATCATCATCAATTTGCTTTAGTTAGGCTTTGTATGGTTAGTAACTTTGTTTTGCTTTGCTTGATTCTTATCCTGGCCATTACTGGATGTGTGATATATATATTATCTAAGCTAACTGTAGCATATTGTAACCTCATTACGATTTAATGTCTTGCATAGATTTTGCTGGTAGCACAACCCCGGTATTACGACTACAACTCAGTATACATTAATGATTATTCAGCATCAGCGATTGATCCCCTTGGCTCTCCCTTCCCTCAGTTTCCTCCTCAGTTCTCCGAGGAGCCGTCGTCCTTGTAGAAGAAGGGCTGACTGGAGTCCTGGCCGACCCACACGTAATTGAACTGCACGGGGCTTGTGAGGGGCGACAGAGTTCCATAGTCGGAGGTCAGCTCGAAGGGAAGGGCATTCTCGTCGAGATCCAAAGCCAAGGCCAGGTTCACCTTGGGCGGATGAATCCTGGCCTTGCCAACGCCGGATGCTGAGTTCTCTAGTCTCTACATGCTCGCACTCGAGGTGACTATGGCCAGGTCGGCGGCCTGCAGGAGGTGATGATGAGGATGCTGATACTGTGGATGCTGCTGCAGGCTCAGGTGATGTTGCTCCTGCTGCAGTTGCTGTTGTTGCTGCTGTTGCTGCTGCTGTTGTTGCTGCTGTTGTTGCTGCTGCTGCTGCTGCTGCTCGCCTCGCACCTTCTCTTTCTTGATGCGCTGCTTCAGATGCACCTTGGCGTGCCGCTTCTTCTCATCAGAGCGAGCAAACTTCCGGCCGCAGATGTCGCAACTGAATGGCTTCTCCCCGGTGTGGGTGCGAATGTGGGTGGTCAGGTGGTCGCTCCTGCTGAAGCTGCGCATGCAGATGCGGCACTGGAAAGGCTTCTGGCCCGTGTGGATACGTATGTGGCGGGTGAGCTCGTCGGAGCGGGAGAACCGGCGATCGCAGTTCTCCACTGGACAGGCGTAGGGTCGCTCGTGCACTGGCGTCTTGCTGGGGCGGTTGGGGTACTTGCGTGGCTTCACTGGCACCAGTTTCAAGGGCACGCTGCTCTGCTGGTAGACCTGCGATAGGATTTCATGTCCCTTGCTAGTCGACGGACTGTATTCGGCCAATTGCACGGCTGCAGCAGCTGCTGCGGCTGCGGCAGCGGCTGCCGATGAGCTGCCTCCCGATCCGGCCGAATAACCTGTGCCATTGGAGCCGGGTTGCATGTCCGGGTAGCTCTCCTGCTTGGGTATTAGCACTCCCAGGGCTGCATTGCTGGAACTCGCCGATGAAGTGGGTCCCGGGAGCACCAAGGTCTGCTGCTGCTGTTGTTGTTGGGCCTGCTGTTGCTGCTGCACCTGTTGCTGCTGCTGAGCGTAGTCCGCCGGAGAGTCCAGCCATTGGTATTTGGGCTGCGAACGCACATACTGCTGCTGGTGTTGCTGCAACTGTTCGTGGCTGCTGTGCAGTTGGCCCAGTCCCTCGAATCCGGAGGCACCGGCATAGGTTGGTGGCGGTTGCTTGAGTAACAGAGGAGTGCAGTCCATGGTCAGACCTAGGAGTTCAGCGTGTTGGGCCGCCGCCGCTGCTGCCGCTCGTCCGTCGTCATATGGCGAGGGGGCGGCACCCGCAGATTGCTGTTGCTGCTGCTGTTGTTGCTGTTGTTGTTGCTGCTGCTGCTGTTGCTGCTGCTGTTGTTGCATGGTGGCATAGTGAGCGGGCAAACTGAAGAGGGGCGGCTGGAACATGGTCTTGTCCGGACTGGGCAGACCCCAGCTGTTGCCCAAACTGTTCGAGGGCGGCGACATGGGACCGGGCAAGACACCCAATTGCGGGGAGGGAAGTTGCTGTTGTTGCTGCTGCTGCTGGGCAGCTGCTGCGGCTGCTGCTGCTGCGTTCATGGCGTTGCCTGTGGTGGTGAAAATGCCACGATATGAGATTTTGCTAGCCTGTTGGTGTTGGATGGCATGTTGTTGGTAGTGTTGTTGGTGTTGTTGATGCTGCAGCTGCTGTTGTTGGTGAAGCGGCTGTTGTTGGTGTGGGTCCTGTTGTTGTTGTTGTTGTAATTGTTGTTGTTGATGTTGTAGTTGACTGTGACTGTGATGGTGGTGATGATGATGATGATGGTGGTGATGTGGCAATTGTTGCTGTTGTTGGTGTAATATTTGGTGTTGTTGTTGTTGGTATTGATGCTGGTGTTGCGGGGAGCTCATGTGGGGCTGTTGTTGTTGTTGCTGCTGATGACTGTTGTGGTGGCAATTCGTATTGCTGTTGTTGCTGCTGTGATGCAGCTGTTGTTGTTGGTGTGATTGTGTGCTGTTGTTGTTGTTTCCGGGTGAGCCAACGCCCTCTGTGTTGTTGTGGCTTTCACTTGTTGTCTGTTTGGTTGTTGTTGTATTTGTTGATGATGATGTTGTGTTGTTGTTGTGTTGTGGGTACATATTACAACTATTATTACTTGATTCTTCCTTGACAATGGTCAAAGCTGGCGGTGTACTACGCTCCTCTTTCAATGGACTGCAATGTGACAACACCGGACTGGCGACGGATACCACTTGGGGTTCCAGCGACAGGTCCTCGGATTCAATAGATCCTGAAAAATATAAGAGAGAACATTTCTTGCATTAATTTTGGTGTTTTGGTGAGGTATTTACCCTAATAGTTTAATCTTAATATTATGGGTTATATAGAATAGTATTTCTTTGCCGTTGGATTCTGAAGATCTGCTTACTCCTCCTGCTACTGCTCCTCCTGCTCCTGCCATTGCGGCTGGCGATATCAATCACAGTTCGCTTGAACGGCATTGGCATTGGGCCACTGCAGCTGGGCTTTCTGGGCGCTTTGATTTCGCGGAAATCGAACGACACGGGAGGTCGCATCATCGCTCATCGCTCATCGTGCCCAACGGGAAGCGGAGAAGTCCAGAAGTGCAGAAGCCAGTGGCAGCAGTTGGGGGGCCGACAGGCAAAAGTGTCGGCGAGAAGACTAATTACGGAGGCAATCGGAATCTCTTGGAGCTCTGCTCTTTTTCCCCCCTTTATTTTTTTTAGCTGCTCACGATTGCCGTCGCCGTCGCCGTCATTAATGCCGCTTGGACTTGAGCTTTAGCCTGGATATTGATTGAGTTGCAGTGCGCCTAATGTGCTGCGACATCAATCTGGTTCCAGCTGAAGGCAAGCGTGCATGAATTCACAGAAATTTTCGCGATAGCAACTCTATTGTTCTGGACCCCTTGCCACCATGCAATTATGTATGTAGTTGCAAGCCCCATTAATGCTGTCAGGGCAAATTATGTATGTTCCCCAAAAAAGCAACAATCTGAACAACAAATAGGAAAGAGGACAACAAATTATGTTTAATTTGTGACAGGCCGGACGGGCCAAAAGGAGACGCATTCTAGTCTGGCCAATATGGAGCCTTTGTCTACACTCTCGCCTCTTTTTAGCCCGGACTTTGAGTGAGACATGGCCGAGAGAGCTTGCCAAGTTTGGCGATTAAAAGCCGCTCCATCATTGTCATGCAAATTGTTTTAATGGATTTTCATTTGAAAATTGCCCATGTCCATGATTTCTGTGCTTTTTCCTCTTTGCATTTTGGCCAGACGACAATCTGCGTGGGTTGTGGCCAGAATTTATGAGTGACATTTCTTTGGCTTCTGACTAGAACTTTATATCCAAAGCATATTTTAGACGCACCATGAATCTTGGCCATCTCTTAAGTATCTGCTCTTTATGCATTTCCAATGGATCTCCGAGCTATTATTCCTTTGGGGCAACGGGAGGAGAGAGAAAGGGAGCAATTAAACTCAATTGTTTTTGATAGCAGCAGCAGCAAATCTAGTATACTATATTTGCTTTGCCTTAATTCAATTAGAAATGCAGCTCTGTTCCATATGTCTACAGATATATGCCCGGTTGTATGTGTACTACTCTTGCTATATCCACAAGTCCGATATTGCTCTCGGGGTATCCGCGTATCTTGGGGCAGAGTGAGAAAATTGCGCTCGAAACATTGACACTGAACGGAAATGTTTAATACATGCGCCGTTTGCTGTTGCTATTCTAGCTTCTAGATTAATTAAGCGTCGTTTGTTGCTTTTTTATTTATTATTTTTATTATGCAGTCTTGTGTCTTGGAAATATGAGAACACGCTGCCCGTCCGTCGTGAGTATTGCAAAATTCAATTTTATTTGACATTAATGAAAAGTGAGCGCAAACGTAAGATAAATAAATAAAAAAATGAAAAAAATGCCACAAAATTTGTGACATAAATTTCATAAAGTCTATACCGTGATATAGCCATTGGGATGTCAGCATTTTATTAATTTATATTTATGTGGCCGAGGCAAAGAAACTTTTGCTGCGACTGGAGACCTCTTAAAATGCCCCATAACTTAATAATAACAACGAAATTATTAAGACACGAGAGATCGTCGAGGAAAAAGAAATCAAAAATGAAAACCAAATAGCCACAAATCAAAAGACGTGCAAATAAAAAATCAACAAGAAAATAAAAAAAACGTACCTCACAAAATTGGTACTTCAACGTTTTTTCGAATGTTTATTTTTGATTTTGAACTTGTTGTTATTCAGGGCAAGCCCAGGAGAAAAGGTTGAGGCTGAAGTCTGCATGTACATACAGCCAAAAGACAAAAGCCAAGATATGTTCGAGTGGCACGGAGAAGTAAGTCAAGATATGGCCAGCCGCCTAGCACAGCGACAATTTCCTTTGGACTTCACTGAGGCTGATTTATGTTGAGACTTAAGACTGACAACGGATTAGTTGCAGACTCCAGGCGGACCACTGCGAGCTGCGACTGCAGTGCCACTGCGGCATGTGGCAGCTGCAAGCTGCATCCATTAGCAGCAGATAAAGGAAAACTCACGGTACGTTCCGAGTTTCAACCAAAAGCAAAACTCTATAAATGCTTTTTTGAGGCTTTTGTCTACACGATTTATGTTCTGTATTATAATGTGAAAATATCAAGCCAAAGTAAAAGTATAGATTTGCGAATATTTTTTAGTGATTTTTGGTAGGATTTTTGGGGGAATGTAGTATTAAAAGTATCTCGAAAAACTTTAAGTGTAACATAAAAAAGTGTCATAGAAAAGTATGTGATATCAGAGGGATTGGTTTTATTACAAATCCTGTCCTAGTTATATTTTAAATCCTTCTAGTATCCTTTTAATACCTCCCTTATTTAAGTCCTTTCTTTCTCACTTATTTGTATGGATCAAAAGTTTTCTAATTTATATCAAAGATCATTAAATAACTTTTAAGGCTCTCTAAAATATATCTTAAATTTCTGTCCAAGACTTGTACTCACCAGTAATGGGTGGCGGTTCCACCACTGTTGTGGGGCCAAAGAACGAGGGTATATCACTGGATGTGGTCACCGGCGTATTGAGATCGCCCGGCAGTGCCTCGATCATCTGCTTGTGGGCCTCCACCTGCTCCACAACCGAGGCCGTGGTGGGACTATGTTGGCCACTTGTGTTCAAAAGGCTAAGATGCGAGGCTGAGCTGCGACCACTGCTGGCGTTGGCACTTGGTTGCACCGCCACGTGTCCCGGACTGCCGCCCTGTGTGGGCGTGGCTGTCTGATTGCGGGCACGCAGCACCGAATTATTCGCAGCAGCAACAGCGGCTGATGCGGCTGCTGCAGCAGCAGCTGCTGCTGAGGCGCTGGTGTAATGCAACAGCGATGAGGAAGTGGACGAGGAGGAGCCGGATGTGGAGTTGAGGGAACCACTGCTATGGCTAGTGCCGGCTCCACTGGGATTGCCACCGAATTGGGCGGGACTCAGATAGGTGGCCGCCGCCGATGACGGACTGCCGCTGCTCTGGGCCGCCGTACTGGTCTTAAACAGACAGGTGTCGAAGCTCAGGACATTGAAGTGAGCGGCCGCGGCCGTCTCGGTGAGCAGGAATGCGTGATGCGTGGGCGCCACCAGGGTTTCAAGCCCTTCCATGATCATGGCCGCTGATGGAGTTCCAGGGGCTACGCCGCCTATAAAAGAGGGAGAAAAGATACAGATTACTAAGGATTTAGATATATTAATAGATTTTTGATATATTAATTAGATGCTAGAGTTTTTTGTACTGGAAAAACCACAAACTGAAGCTCAATCCAAGCTCGACTCTTTCTCAATTGATTTGCCATGACAGCTGTTCGATTGCATAACCAGTCACCGGAGTGAGTGAGTAAGTCGGGTCATCAAGTGGGGAAATTACTTAACAATTTAATTTCTGCCATCGACTGTCGCAGACACTTTCGCCTCCTGCGCCCACGGTCGCCAGCAATTAAATTAAGATCGATTAAGCACTTAGCTTGGAGCCCTGAGAAGTAGAACAGCCGGCTTTCCCATGGATGATCACTCCGGCTGAAGAGTGACCCAGGTTTTGGGCGGGAAGTGGGTCAATCAGCCTGTGGTGACCTTACGCAATGCGTTGCCATTGCAAAACTTATGCAAGTCTCTCTCAATTAGAGCCGCAAATTTTTCTAAACAAATGCCACATAAACTTGGCTTATTATTTATTTTGTAGTTTCGTTGTTCGCTTGTTTATCACAGATAAACTAACCGAAATTGCGATTGCCATCTGCAACGAGTTGCGGCACTGGGTTTGGGTCCTCCGTCTCCCCCGTCACTCTCTTAAATCCGTTGCCCGGTGTGGCGTCATCCAACCTCTCGAGTATGTTGTTTTATTTTCATTTTTTTTTGTATTTTTTTCTCGGTTGGCGAAGACTTGACCGCGTTGATTTGCATTACAAGTGCACTTGTGTTGACAGGCAGCTATGCGCCAAAATAACTACCGTGCCACGGCGTATCCGACAGATACAGCCAGCGATGAGAAGACCCGGGACAGGGCACAAAAAGCATCCCGCTTTTGGCACTTTTGCTTTTTTATTTACATTTGATTTCACGCATAATTTCCATGGCGAAGTGCACTCGAGACGGGCAGCGAGTGAAATTACATTCAAAGCTGTAGGCCACAGATTCAGATACATGGCTCGTAGATACGGATACAGATACAGTTACAGCTACAGCTACAGCTACAGATACAGATACACTGTGTGTTGAGGCAGCGCGTGCTGGGCTTGTGTGTGCCTTTTGTGTTTTTGTTCATTCATAAAATTATGCGCTCGAGTCAATAATTTTTACAGTCGATCAAAGATTTGTATCTCTTTCGCTGTTGTTTCCCCCTGAATGCGCGACTTGCCACATGAATCATCCGCGGGCGGCCGAAATACAAATCCAATACTTTTCGATCAGAGTCCGGACCTCTCAAAAGTCTCATAAAACTGGTTGGAGAGCATCGCATCGAATCTCCACTTCCACTTCCATCTCTTTGGACTTCTTGGTCTTGGCCCGGTCTTTGTCTTCCCCCCTGGTTCTTAATAACTTGGCTAACAATTGACACTCCCTTAAAAAAAAAAAAAGGAAAAACCAACAACCAGGCAAGTCGAGCTATAGATGCTGTGGCTGTGTGTTATCTACAGTGGCAACTGGCTAAGACGATTACAGCCAAAAACTTGATGGCGGCTTTAAGCTACCAAGAAAATCAAGCTGGGAATTTCCCGGCGTTCACCTTAGGCCATGGCCACTGTCCCACCAACTCGCTGTCTTTCTGTCTGTCTGCCTGCGTTTATGTATATTGTAAATCTTGTCTACGGCCCGGATCCCCTGACTTCTTTCACTCTGCATATTTTTGCATAGCATTTTTCTTGATTTTGTTTTTAGTGTACTAGTAGGACAGACAGCACACACACGTCAAGATCTCCATGCTGCCATGAATGAATATTGGCAGTGGTGGTGCGAGCCAGAGGGAGATGGATATCCGAGAGATACATTTAACGGCTCGATGAGGAAGAGGCAAGGTAGAGGAACGCCAAGCATGAAAAAATTGTTATGTTGATATTATTTTAATTAAGTTTTGCGCGAACCGGTTGCCGTTGCCATTTCCATAGCGACTCTATGGGTTCTACTCCTTCTTATTTCCAGTCAGAGAGTGTTAACAATTCGATAGATGGGCGCCAATTTGTTTGCTTTGGCAAATGAAGAGCGGGTTGGCGGGGTCTCCGTCTTGACCCAGACCCCAGAGTTTTAGCCATAAATGTTTTCATTGGCATCAGCAGCAGCGGCAGCAGCAGCGGCACTGAAGACCTCATTGAGGATTAAATGTTGAGACGCGTGAAGCGACCTTTGGCTACTTAACGGCTCCAAAAATAAACTACAAGTTTGTTGTCTTGGGATCTTTGGCTTGTGCAATGCTATCCGGGGTACTCTCATATATCCAACAGATTTGCATTCCCAACCTTGACGGGCGGCAAATAGAAAACAAATATATAAATATCCCAGCAAGTCACTTATAATACCAATAATGCCTCTTTGCTTTTTTGCTATTTAATATGAAAAGAAATTGGAGAAACGTTTAAAGGAGAAGGGTAAGCGATCATTAGTCAGAGGTGTGTGTGTATCTTTGAGGAGTAAAAGTATCTTGCAGATACATAGATAGAAGACATGCAAGTTGCATGCGACACGGAGCCAAAAAAAACGAAACGATGATGGAATGGCCGGGCGGCAACGAAGTCCATCATTCACACAGCGGGAGCAGAGCCATCCTCATCCCGCTCCTCACTGGGCCACCATGCGGTGTCCAACAAGTTAACATGGACAACACCAACAAACACCAACAACACCAACAACAACAACAACACTGGCATCAGCATGAAAATGTATCTCTTGCCGCCGTCTTTTGCATGCGTAACACTTTGTCACACTTTTCATGCCAACAGCTCTGGTTGTTTTCCCCTCATGAGAACAATTAATGAAAATAAACAGCCGCGGGCCAGACAACAACAACATTTACACACAAACACACACTCAGTCACCGAATATGTATATTTTTATAAAGACTTTTTTGTTCGAAATCATTTTAGTGGGCACTTAAATGAAAATTTTCTTGTTTGACTTGGCAGCAAAAAAAGGCACAACTCCCGACGGCAGCTTCAAGCTTTTTGGCCACTTAAAGTGTTACACGTTAAACATTTTGGACTACAATTTACTAGAATATTAAGATATTTGAGGTAACAATAAATCAATACAATATTTATACTTTTAATTTGACAATTAATAAGAGTGTAAGGTAAATATGTTATACCGTCTGACAAGCTGCAAAGGAATTCTGTAACTTATGGATTTATACAGATTAAGTAAAGCTAACTTTCTACCTAATAATTTCCTTAAACTAAATTAAGTTTATTAATCTTTCACAAAGAAACAAATTAAAAGGATTTACATATTTTTCTCTGTGTAAAATAGAGGCTGATGGGAGGGGGACGATGTCAAAGTGCCATTTGGCAAGTGCGGAAAGTGTTAAGTGAACTCTGTGACCCATCAGCAGCTTCACCGCCGTCGGCACCTTTGGTTTCGATCTCTCTTAATTAATTTTCTAAATACCCCACGAAAAGCAACGAAAATTTGACGAAAATGCTTTACAAAAATTGAAAAATGATTTAACATTTGGATTTTCCTTTAACTTGGTCATGGGAGGTTGCATGTAAATCACTTTGCTAATTGCTTTTCCATTTCCATTCCGCGGTGTTTGCATCCAAAATGCATGCTGCCAGTGGGAAATGCATTAGTGCTGGGTGACGGGGGGCGGGAGGCGTGGAAAAGGCGGGTGGGGAAATGCCGTGGATATGTTAGTTTGGGGAATGCAGACGGACCAAAAATTTGCCATCAAATTGTAAACATTAGATTGCTATTTCAATTGAGCGCCAAGTGTATGACAATAATTTAATTACAAAATTTTGCAAAAATTGCCAGGAGCAGTGGATAAACTTGTACTCAGAGATGCATTAATTCGCGAATACATAGTTGCAGTCGTAAATTTCCGCCGCTTGGCTGTCTGCTCCCAGGTGCTATCTAAATAACGTGCAGAAATTTTTATTATGCGTTAAATGAATTTTTATATCTCTCAACTAAATCGAGGAATATAAACTAAGGCAGGCGCCTGGCTAAGAGTAGGGAAAAATCACAGAACAGACAAAGGGGGAACAAAATATATAGATAGATGAGTTTAAGAAACAACAAATGCTTCCTGCTAATAAATTAAATAACAAAGAGCATAAAATCTTTATAAAACTAATAATCAAATATAGCACAATGTTTTCTTTCTAAATATAATTTACAATTTTTTTATTGGGCCTCTAGTCTGTTTTTTCCTAAGATTTTGAATTGTTTCGAATATATTTCAAAGAAATGTATTTAAAATAAAAAATCATCTACTGAAATATTTTAATATTAATTACAAAGACATAAACATTGTACAATTTACTCAAAGAAGTCTAACCAAGACTTTAACAAAGCAAACTTGCTTAAAAACAACCAATCTAAATCACAAACATATTCAAATAAGAAGTATATCACACTATATATTCCTTCTAAATTCAGCACACACATAAATCAATAATAAAATTTATGCTCTTCTAGCATTCATATAAATTCAAATTTGTTGCCCAATAATTCAACAAGAAATCACACTAAACATTTATCATTTTATTTAATTCATTTTAAATAAAATGATTGAGTAGATGGAACATCTGTCACCAAAAAATAGATTCCTTTATATATTTTCTTCTGCGAGGAAACACCCACCTGGATCGCAATGGCACTTGCAGAAGAATTCAAAGGGATTTTCCTTTGGCTTTTCTCTCCGCCTTGTCGGCTTTTCCCTTAGCTCAGCTCAGTTATGCTATGGAATTTTCACTGTCAATTTTCGCGAAAGTTTTTGGTTCTCACTGCGAGCTAGAAATCAATAAAGCATTGCTCGTGTAATCATCTTATACGGCGGCTGCAGGTGGCTTTCATTCATGCCTCTTTGTGTGGCAATATCCTTTCACTTTTACTTTAGTTTTAGTTTTGGATTTTCAAGAATTTTCACCAACCGGGCGTTTGTTTTATTTTCTGTTTGAAAACTTTTATTTCATTGGCACTGATGGTCACT